CACCCCCATACAGATTTTGGGTCGTCTGCCCCCGACATCCCGCGAAGGATTCCCCAGTCTACCCTTCCTCATTGATCACGCGCGAAGCTTTGCCAATCTCATCAGTATATGGCTCGAGATCGCACCGGAGCGCCTGGCGGAAATGGAGGAGATTGACCCAGCCGTCAGCAAATTCCATGAAATGGCCGTTCGTCTGCACCAACGCACCAAGGAATGTTTGAGCAGAGCCGAGCAGGCAGAGCGTCCAAACGGAGGCCTTGAGGTCAAGTGGGAGGAACTGGTCGATGCCATGGAACGATCGGTGACCTTTTACGAAGACAGTTCCAAGCCCACGAGCCCGGCCACAGAGGCAGCTATCGCAGGGTCGACATCCCTTACGGGCAGCCATCGCAATTCGATAGGCTATTTCGCGTCACGGCCCTCTCTACCGCGTCGATCTACCGATTACGCTCCTGAAGCCGAGGATGACACGCCTCCTAGTTCCTCTTCTGCCACCTGGGACCAAAGTAGAGTCCCCTTCTCGATACCGCGATGGGCAGATCCCAGGGACAGCACCGGCAGTTCGAAGAACTCTTCCACGTATTCGCTTGAATACCCCGAACCCTCGAAATCGCGCAGATCTAGCATCACCAGGGAGACAACAAGCAAGTACCGGTTCTTCGATTTCGTGCCCCCGTCTCGCCGCAAAGCGAAGGATCGGGAACAGGCTCAGCATTCGCGTGAGGAACAGCGCAACGAGTTATGACGCCCAAGTCGCCTGGGTAATACCTAGGCTTGCCTCGCTCTTGAACTCGTGCAGTGGTGTCATGGCCTATCTGGACCATGACGATTCCAAGCATCTATCCCACATCTGTGGCTTTAGACAAAATTATTTTACCTTCTACGGCTGCCCCGCCTTCTCTACGGCCCCATGAATGTCATCGGGGAAGCTCTTGCAGCGGTGATGCTTGCATGTTGCGGGCAGCCATTTCTGTGTACAACATGAGAGCTTGATTTCATGTATTGAGATCCCTGCATCTTCTGGTGTAAATTTTTCTGCGATTACATTTCTTCTCCTTTTCTCCTACCGCATGTGCCCATGATTTAACGTTCGTTTCTCCTACCACCCTCTTCCGCTGGTTTTATTTTGGAAAGCATTTGTCATGGTGTTGATACCCTGCTCTGATGGCTGTTTTTACGTGGAAAACAAGAGATCCTGTGAGCAGAGTGCCGGATATGATCTTCCATGGATGATGTATGGATTGTGGGCAGCCAAAGCCCCTCACTTCTTGGGGGTGTTTTTGCCAGTCTACAATTGCAATTGTTGTGTAAATAGCGTCTACCTTTCCTCTGGGCATAGATGAAATGAGTAACTCCACCTTGTTAGACTTGTACTTGAGTACCGCTTAATGCCGCGCCTGAATATACTACATAATACTTTCAAACCAATCTCAAAAACAAACCACTCCAATATCATACATCCAACCAACCAACCCACCCCTGCCCCAATTCCCCACACCCTCATAACAATGACTCTACATCCACAAACAAATCTTCCCACTCGCCGTACCCCCCGCAACCCAATTCCTACTACGATGAAAAACAGCCACAGCCGGCACAGCCGTAATGCCCTCCCCGCCCAACTGCGCCAACTGATCCCCCTCCCCGCTATAGATATCCACAAACCGATTCATGTTTCCGATGCAGAAGCGCTGGATATGCGATTGCGGGTTCTGCTGCCACTGGGGGCGGAGACTGTCATGCCATCATTATTAGCATATTGATCCCAAAAACAAAAGAAACGAGCATTCATAGGAAAAAGGAAAGAAAAGAAAGAAAAGAAAGGAAGTAGGGATAAAACAACGTACATAGTAACCCATCTCCCCGTCTGACAATTATGTCTCACGACCGTATCCGGCCCCAATTCATCCTCCCCAACCGCATGACCCACATCCCAGCTCGATATCCCCTTCTTCTTCAAATCGTATATCTTGAGCGTATCGTCATACGATGACGTCGCGATTTGCCCCGCGCTGTTGAATGCGGCGTGCGAGACGGACAGGCGACTGTAGTGTTCTCCTACCGGGGTAGGTCCCTCATCTTCATCAAGTCCCCTCTTGCTCCTCTTGGGCTTCTGCAGCATGCGCAAATCCCATAACCGCATTGATCGGTCCAGACTCGCTGTCGCGAAGTAGTGCGGCTGCGTTGGGTAGAGTGAGAACCCGCCGATTTTCTTCTCCGATAGTTGCCATGTGGTTACTGTTCCTGATGCTGTTGGGTCGGTGCGGATGTCGTGTCGTCCGAAGGCTCCGTCTAGGGTTGTCCAGTAGAGGACGTTGGGGTCGTCGAGGGCCATGTCGATTCCTGAGATGGGCTCGTCCGAGGAGGTCGATTCCGGCGCGTATTTCTCTACGCTGGTGGATTTCTCGAGGTCCATGGCCCGGATCGAGCTGTCGTAGCTGGCTGTGTAGAGGGTTGTGGGGGTGCTGGGGTGGATGTGCATGCTGCTGATGGTTCGGGTGTGTGGTTTTACGGTCGTGAGGACGGGGTCTGGGTCTGGGTCTTCGGAGTCGGAGTCGTCGTCTTCTTCGGGTTTGATCGAGGTGGGTTTCTCTTGGGAGGCGTCCAGGATGCCGAGATGGCCCATTTTGTCGCCGGCGAAGATGAGGGGTTTGGATTCCGTGGGGTGGAAGGTCATGGCGTAGACTCGTTCGGGGGTCAATTTGATATCTGTTATGGTTGTTTAGCATTGTCGACGGAATGGACGATGGTAGTAGGGGAGGGAGACATACGATTAGGTTCCCACGCATCCCAGAGCGTCAATCCATTCATCTCCTTCCTCAACGCCTTCAAATCCTTATCCGTCGTCTTCTGGATCTCATCATCGCCAAACGTCCGCTGATACGGTATCGCCACACCCTTGGTCACCACATCCACTCCGATCAATCCATCCGCAGGCAACTTCTGTCCATTCACCATGATATCACTGAACGAGAAGTTATCCGACTTGCGGACTCGTTTCGCGCGCTCCGCTTCCTGCCGCGCCTCGTACTCTTCTTCTGCCTTGCGCTTCGCGACTTCGCTCTCCGCCGCAATGCCCCTCAGCCGGGATGACATGCGCCGCGGCTGCGGCGGCGTCTCCTCCTTAATTTTCTTCACGGGAGTCTTCTTCTTCGTTCGCGACTGGTCCTTCGCTGCTGGTTTGGGCATCTTCGGCGGGAATAGCCCCGAGGACTGCGCCTCCACGGTCAGCTTTTTGAGTAGCGCATCGCGTTCGGCGATGTTGGCTAGGCGCTGCTTTTCGAATTCGGAGATCTCGTCGTTGCCCATTTTGAACGTTTTCTCTCCCTCTTACAGAGGAGGACTGTCTGTGTAGAGAGTGTTGCTAACTGCAATGACTGCTGATAGGCGCAGATGGATAACTTTGCTCGCGCGGATCAGAGGCGCGTTCGGAGCGCCGCGTGGTCACGTGGCTCTAATTGATGGGAGAAACTGCGCCGAGCGGGAGATTCTCCGACGGACGGCTGGTTCAGCTTCACTTCGGCAGACCGGTCCACCAATTGTTAATCAGTGGGAAGGTTGCCGTGTATTTACAGTCTATTTTATATCGGACTGTAATTCGGCATTGTCAACACAATGAGTGCCCGAATCTCCCGATCCTGGTTGGCGCTCGCAACTCGCAACTCGTCCGTCCCATTCCTGTACCAGACTCGCACCCTCACTGCCGCATACCTGTCTCCTCCATTCCGTCAGCAGTACTCGACCTCCAGCGACGCCAACGAGCAGGACCATGAAGCAGCAACAACAGCAGCAGAACCAACACAAGATGACAAACCCGCCCGTCCAATCCGGAGGAGCTTCCTACGGAAAAAGGCCGCGGCCGTTAATCAACAGCAGCAGCAACAACAAGCACCCACTAAACCAGCTCCGCAAAAGCCCGTCACCATGACCAGCACCGAGAAGCAAATCTTCGGCAATCTGCTAGAACAACTCGGCACCGAGCGCCGCCAGCAATCCCAGACCGAGCTCACCTCATCCACCCCGTCATCATCATCATCAACGGAATCAAAACCCACCCTCCGCGACGAAGACATGGACGAAATGGCGCAAATCTCCGCGATCTTCGACTCCGTCCTGCAAGACATGAAAGAGAAGCGCCAGCGCAGCGCGGCGCGCACCGAGCGACAGGAGAGCGAAATCGCCGTGCGAGAACAGAACACCGCCATTGAAGAGAAGCTCCAAACAGGCGAATACACCGATGACGAGCTAGCGGAGATGATATCCTCGAAACAGATCACCATGGATAGGGCCATCGAGGCTGTGATCATGCGCGAGTCCGTCAGCATTGAAGCCGCACTCTGGGACGCTATTGATAACCGTCGCGGAGATACAGCTATCTGGGAGGTATGCAAGGAGCGGATCTTTAATATCCTGCGACACTTGGACGATGAGAAGAAGGGTCTTTTGGGCGTGAAGGACGAATCTACTTCGGAGAGTTTCCTCGCCATTCCCCCTGTCGTTCCCACTGAACCCGTCGTCACGGAACTCTATCCCAAGATGCTCCTCGTCGCGTTCAAGCTCCTCAATTTGCATTATCCCGAATCACATCTCATCAGTCAGTTCCGTGCCACGATTAAGTCTATGGGTAGGGCGTCGGCTGTTCTGGGTGGATCCACGGCTCTTTATAATGAGTTTATTTATTTCTATTGGCGCGGGTGTCATGATTTGCCGGGTGTGGTGTCGCTGCTTCGTGATATGGAGGTTACGGGTGTGGAGCCGAATCGGCGTACGTGCGGTCTGTTGCATTCGATTAAGAATCAGAGGGATCATGATCTAAGGAATCATTGGCGGAAGGCCAAGGTGGAGGGGAAGCAGGGGAAGTCGAACCGTGAGCCGTGGTGGGATTTGGCGCCGAATCGGAAGGCAGTCCGGGAGTTGTTTGGGGATGAGGGGTGGGTGAAGAAGCTGGAGGGGAGGGTGAAGGAGATTGAGAGGGCGAGGGATTATTAATTGACTTGTATAGCATAGTATATATGTATGGTGCCGTTGAAAGAGACGTGAATGTAAATATACAATTGTATCACCGGAAGTAAATACCAGTAAGCAAAGCAAAGCAAGCTAAAAAGAAATGATGTTAATAATAGTACATCCTACCACCACCCCATCCATACCTTCCCATCATATTGAAGGGTTCAGGTACCAGCTATAGCTTCAACCCCCAACTCCTCCCCAATCCCACAGCAGTCGACCCCAAGAACCCCAAACACTGCTTCACCCCAGACACCTTATCCTTCACAGCTCTGGCATCCGCCCACCGGCGACTCAGGAATTCCTCGGTATCACGCAGCCCCGCGCTCGTATCCCGCGTCATCACAAACTCCGACGACGCATACACGGCCGCCACAGCCATGCGCTTCGAATACCACGATGCATCGACGGAAGCGTCGCCCGCTAGCGTGAGGATATCGTCCGAGAGAGCGTGCAGTTCGGATAATGAGAGGGGGATGTTTTCGCCGAGGGACATGATGGCTAGGGCCTACATCATCATTATTTCGTTAGTACCTGGTTTTATTTACCCCAGTAATATAAGGGGGTGGGTGATAAGGAGTATCATACATCCTGCAACTTATCCTTCACCTCCACATTCATGCGCAGCCGCTCCATAATCAGAACCTTGATTTTGTCGTCCACGGATAGAGGTCCCTGCTGGGATTGGGATTGCAGCAGCGCATCATTCTCCACCTTGGAGCGGAGGAGACCCCGACGACTCGCCAGCCAGAAGAGAATCAGGTCGAATTCGCCCCGCGGGAGAAGTTGCACCGAGACATCGAGGAAGCCGGCATCCCGGGCTCCGAGGGTTAGGGCGTCGCGGGTGAAGCCGTGGGTCGGGACGTGGCGGAGAGCAGAGGAGAGGATGGTCGTTTGGGAGTTGGAGTATTCGTGGGGTGGGGAAGGGTGGTGGATGGAGTGGTAGGGACGGATGCTAGGGGTGGTGGTGGTGGTGCGGAGGCATGGTTGGTGTTGGATGGTGCGGAGGGTGGTGGTGGTGGTGGTGGTGGTGGGTTTGGTGGTGAGGAGAGATGTGGTTGTACGGATGGGTGTGGTTGTGGTTGTCCGGGGTGCGGCAGTTGTGAGATACCTCCGGGAGAGGGTGAGGAGGGGTTGTGAGCGAGTCATGGTGGGTGAGGCAGTGGTTGTGGTTGTGGTTTGGGAGGAATTGAAGGTCGGAGATGGAGATGGAGATGGAGATGGAGATGGAAGTCGGCGGAGGATTTTCTAAGCGGTGGCCTGAGCGGAGAGCCAAGAGCTTCTTCTTCGGGATGTCTTAATACATAGTGACATAGTGGTATTTGTCTGGGGTCAACTCTTTGGACTGTATATTAGCTAGTGCGATCAACGGGAATTGTTGTTGTTTAAATGGAGGGGTCTACATCGTCAATTGATGGAGTTGATTGGGGCTTGTGGTGGTTCAGGGTTCTTGATTCTGTCGGGGGCGATGAGACAGTGGCTGTCATTAGTGCTACAGTGGATGGAGTATGGGCTGGGGAAGCAGATTGGAGAGTCACAATGGGAACAACTTTGGGGTTAGCACACTCTGGTGGCTTATTGGTCAATTACTGTATAGCTCTAAGTATGATCTAGTTGATAGGTATTTTGGAGTACTAATGTGGAAATAAATGAAGGGCTGAAATCAACTGCATTGATGTGGATGCGGTAGTGGTGCCTGTGCCTGTTGATCCTGACAAGATGATAGGCTGTCTGTGTCTGATGTTGATGGATGGATGATCAATTAATGCCTCATTTACTGCCACTCGACCATCTCTTACCCTTGAATTTATCACCCTTGGATCCTTTTGATTCCTTCAAATTATTCCCTCTCCATTTATTTTATTTATCAGAGAACATCCCGACCGCTCGAGCCTCCATCCCTGCCGGCTTGCTTATCCCCAGCTGCCTCTCTGTTCACACTCTGGCCCCCATCTGTCTGTCTCTCTCTCTCTCTGTTTCTCTCTTTCTTCTCCTCACGACTGTTATCTACTAGTGTGTTTGTTGCATCTGGCACTACTCCCGTACTAACTAGACCACTAGACTATCCCTTCCGATTATCCCCCTCTTCCCTTTCGGATCTCCGTTTCGTTCTGATAATCGTTCGTCCGTCTTGAAAGGCGATCCAGACTGTCTTCCTGTCCCTCCATTTACCTACCTTGTTCCATCACCATCATCAGCACTACCACCCACTACTCCGTATACCAACCACTACTATTCTCTCCCTTGTGATAACTAACGTATCATCTCCCTTCCACAACCCCCCTTTTTATTCATTTTATTCTTCTTACTCCATCAAACCCAATATTGGGAATATCATCAACATGGGTGGGTGATAACTTTTCCTATAATGCAACTTCTCTTTTTCCCCCATGTCGGTTCCCCGGATTGTTTGTTTGTCTCTCTCGTGATCCACCGTCAATGGCTTGTCCCGGTGGACATTCAGCCCACGTTTCCCTCTTGCTTCGATCCATAATCCATACTTTGAGGCTACCTCATCTTACATTCCTGTCCCGGCTGGGAATGAACTTGTGACATGATTGCCCGGCAGACAGGATTGACTTCAACCCTGATGTGCCTCCTCCCACCCCCCCTTGTCTAGGCGGCACATACCTATCCGTATCTCTGAGCTTCCCCCCTCATCATTATCACACGGGTTCCCACACCAGCAGGGGACCTCCATCCTCGTTCACTGCGCCGGGTGGACGTGCCGAGTCAGAGCAGTGGCCAACCATCCCGACCATGCATCTCATTCCTCTTGCTGCGACAGCTACGCCAACCACAACCACGCTCAGTGGAGGGTTGGCTGCGGATGCCCCCGGGGGGAAGGCCAATCACGCCGCGTGCTGCATGGTGTCCCGAACGGGCTGGCAGACAAGACGGACTCGAACTGCTTCTGCACTGGGCGGATGGGATGGCATGGGATTGGATCTGACTTGACACACACACACACACGGGCTGGAACAGCACGACAGTGGTCTCTTTTCTCAACTGGTTTTGGCTTTGGACCTTGTCTCATCGTTTCTTTTTCCTTTTCTCTCTTTTCCCTTCCCCCCCCCCTCTCGGCCATCCCCTTCTCTGGCTGGCTGCTTCTTACACACACGCGCACACTACTCCCACCTACTACTACTGTGCTAGTAGTACTTCCTCACCCTCTCTCTCTCACACACACAGCCGCCCACACACACACCACACACACTTTCTTCTGTGTCTGACTTGACTTCCCTTCCCCCCTCCCGCCGTCACCCTCCTTTATCTCTCGCGTCTCGCCTCCTCTCCATTCCTCTTTCTTCTACCTTAATTCCTCCTTCTTTCCCGTCCCCATCCCAATCTTCCCCTTCTTTTTTCCCCCTCTCTTTCGTACTCTGGTAATTTCCTTTCTACTGCTTTGTTCCCTCCCGACCGTGGATTCGGTGGCTTACCATCTAGGCTTAATCTTCAGCCGACGTCTATCGACCCTATCAAGTAAGTTTGCTTTCCGATCGGTTGATTCGCTTGTAGCTCTTCTTGGGAAATGGATGCGAGTTAGCGCTGTTCTTGGTTGTTTTTCTGGAAAGAAAGGACTTTCTTTGCCATTGTTGCGGGCAGCTGGACGGGGAGACAGTGAACAAGTCCATCCCAGCTGCAAATACTAGACAGAGTGATGGGATGGGCGGTGCTCACGGCTCACGTTCGGGAATCCGTCATCCCCACTGTTTGCTGCCACTCCCGCAAGCTATCCACCCTCGTTCTTGATCTTCCACTCCGATCTTCATCTATGATGCATCTAATTTGGGATTATTCTTCTGGTTGTTATTTGATTATTTCCCACACGGAAGAGATTTCACTGTGTTCTCACTCGCATCTGTCTCTTCTCTTCACTCTCCTCCCCCTTCCACTGCTGGTCTGTTGGAAATGGGCTGTGTCCAGTTGCCCGTGACTTCCCCAGGGTCCCCCCGGTCTGGCGTTTGACGCTAAACCTGTTTGGGGTGTCAAATCACCTGACCGGCCCCGTGTCTGGCGCAGAAACCGGAACTCGGACCCAATCCAATCCAGTCCCGTGCATTCCTGCTCCTGCTCTTCCCTCTTCACTCAACTCACCTCTCAACTCTCCAATTCACTCCCCCCATCTCTCTCCATTGCCATTCTCCATTGCCGATTCCCCCGATTTCGTTCCATCCAACCAAGCAGCTCCATTTCCCACCCACCACCCCCAGTTCCAGGGACCTTGCGCGCTGATCTCATCCAACCCACTCTTGTCTCACCACCTCTTTGCCTTTCTTTAAATCTCCACCCTCCCTCTGCCATTCCCGCGCGCTCGCTCTCCTCCCGCCTCATGTCTCCATCTGCTTTCGACGACACTGACCACGCACAGCGCGAGAGGTCTCGTTCTCCCCGTCGTCGTTCTCGTAGCCCTCGACGCAGCCGTCGCTCTTACTCTCCCCGCAGTCGCTCTCGCAGCCGTGACGACTATCGCCGCTCCGACCGTCGTTCTCGTTCGCCTATGAGTACGACCCAAGGCGCTCCCGGTGGTCATTCTGCTTCTGGTTACGGTGGGCGCAGCAGCTACCCACCTCCCCCCCGTTCGTTCGAAGATCGCGCCGTCGCCAAAGAACAAATGATGCAAGCCGTGCGCGAGTCGTCCCAGCAAGACCGTCGCGTCTATGTGGGCAACCTCTCCTACGATGTCAAGTGGCATCATCTGAAAGATTTTATGAGACAGGGTGAGCAGGGTCATATCGTGTTGCCGGGCGTGTGATAGCGTTTGTGCGGGTCTGGAATTTGTGGCTGACTTTGGAGGGGGACGTTCCGCGCTCGAACAGCTGGAGAAGTCATCTTTGCCGATGTCTTACTGCTTCCCAATGGAATGTCGAAGGTGGGCGCCAATGCGTAGTGTGGCTGGTTTCCTTTCCCTTTTTGTGTTTCTGGATTTTTTTTCTTCCCCTGTTGGTTCGCTTGTTATGGACTGTTTGGGTTGACGGGCTGGGCCTGGCCGTCCGGGATACTGTAGGGATGCGGGTGAGTTGGCTTCCTTGGTCTTTGATGGTCAGCTTTGTGTTACTGACAGTCACAATAGGATTGTGGAATACGCAACCAGGGAACAAGCGCAAAATGCGGTAAACACCCTCAGCAACCAGAACTTGATGGGAAGACTCGTCTACGTCCGTGAGGTATGATGCATCATTACCCTCCGAAACACTGAATTCTTGATCGGAGGATACTGACAAGGCGCAGGATCGTGAGCCTGAGCCTCGTTTCACGGGTGGTCCCTCTCGTGGTGACTTCGGAGGTAGTGGTCGCGGCGGTTTCGGTGGCGGCTTCGGTGGCCCTGCCGGCGGCGGCGCTGGTGGCCGTCAGCTTTATGTTTCGAATGTTGGTTTATTCCCGTCCACCATTGACATTTGATATTGTGCTCGACTAGGATTAGGTATTGACGCTGGGGATGTTTAGCTTCCGTTTAATGTTGGCTGGCAAGATTTGAAGGATCTTTTCCGCCAAGCTGGTAAGTATGGGACGGCAGAGCCTCTATACAACCGCCTTCTCTGCCTCCTCTCCGTCGCAAGCGTCTTCAGGACTGACATTGACTTCTCATATAGCTCAGCAGGGCGCTGTGATCCGTGCCGATGTTCACACCGATGCCACCGGCCGTCCCAAGGGCTCTGGTATTGTCGCCTTTGAATCCCCCGAGGATGCCCGGAATGCCATTCAGCAGTTCAACGGATACGACTGGCAAGGACGCCAGCTGGAGGTTCGTGAGGATCGCTTCGCTGGTGCTGGACCTGGGTTCGGTGGCCGTGGTGGCTTCGGCGGTCGCGGTGGCTTTGGTGGTGGTTTCGGTGGCCGCGGTGGCTTTGGTGGCCGTGGCGGCTTCGGCGGAGGTTTCCGTGGTGGTTATGGCGGTGCGCCCGGCGGTTTCGGTGGTGCACCTGGTGGTTTCGAGGGCGTGCCCTCTGGACCTCCTAACCCGTTCACCGATTTCGCTACGTCTGGCGGCGACAAGAGCGCTGTCATCTACGTGCGCAACCTGCCCTGGTCGACTTGCAACGAGGATCTGGTGGATCTGTTCTCGACTATCGGCAAGGTTGATCGTGCGGAGATCCAGTACGAGCCCAATGGTCGCTCCCGCGGCACCGGTGTGGTTCAGTTTGATAGTACGGAGACTGCGGAGACTGCTATCGGTAGGTTTTGCGATTGCATCCGCAGAAAGACATCTACTAACTGCATTACAGCCAAGTTCACTGGCTACCAGTACGGCGGTCGTCCCCTGGGCATTACGTTCGTCAAGTACATGAACGCCGGCCCCGGGCCCGGTGATGTTGCGATGGACGGCACTGAGCCGACTGCTCCGATCACGCAGGATCAGATCATGTAACACTATCATATGACTTTTTTTTTTTCTTTCGGGAGGACATATCGAGGCCGAAAAAAGTTTGCGATGTAACACTCCGGATCGAGAAAAGAATGATCTGTTGGCGCGGGTTCGCGTATGCTGCATTTTGTTTCATACCAGGCATACCTTATGATTTGCTTTTCTTCTATTACTATCGGGCATTCTATTGTTGTTTCATTTCTCCGACGATCTGGTCTGGCGGGGACACATCAGATGTTGTTCAAGCTGAAATTGCAAGCGGATGGCTTCTGGTGGATTTGATCCTTTGCGTTTGGACGGTTGCCCTAGCGAAATTGCTGCACTGGAGGGTTTGACCCGTTTGATTGTTTGACTTGTAGGCTTGTAAGTGGTAGACTAGGACGGAGATACCCGACTATACATGGTAGTGACTGTATTGGAGTTATCAGTATGCTTCAATCTATTTGCGGTGGCTCTTTCGTCATTCACATTCTACGATTTTGAGAATTAACAACCATAACATAATCATTTAAGATTCATGCAGCGTTATGCTTTGCTCCATTCAACCTACTAGTAGTCTCCAGTAGAACAGTGACACTGGTACTACTAGTATACCACTCTTATGATTCCTGCAAGAGATATGAATGGATTGTATGAATCACCTATGGACAATGTGGTGATGGACCCTTGAGGATGGCCATGACCACATCTATAATGGTCGATGAGATTGTAGTAGTTCCCAAGCAAAAGCATTGCCAGAAAAGAGGAGCCGCTGTTTTACTAAGGAGTACTATCATCCTTTGTACTTACGTGAGGTGGCCGGTTGGTGTAGTAGTAGTAGTAGTAGTAGTAGTAGTAGTAGTAGTAGTAGTCCCATCTATACAGAGTAATTGTCGGTGACGGCGGAAAGACCATGGTTATGCATAGTCTTTATATACAGAAACATGGTCTTTCTGCACTATGCATTAGTGCCTTGAACATTCCAGGCAGGCTGTACATAGTTTATTTTAAAGCCATTTCTATGATTACAGATATCAGATTACAGATATCAGATTACAGATATCAGATTACAGATATCAGTATACTTTCCTACACTCGGCGCGTACATTATATAAATAGACAAGATCATATAAGTAGACAAGAACATATAAGAGCCTGGATATAGTCTCATAAATTCATAATTCAATATACTATCTTTGCTCATAAGAAATCATATAGTACTGGAGATTCTGCTATTTCTATCTCCTTAAACATTTTCATGTGTGCTACTTAACTCAACATGCCTCAAAACAAAAATATTATATAAGAATATCAATTAACATATCTTTATTCAGTAACCTGATAATAAAACAGAGAATAAATTTTTAGAGGCTACAAAGCATCACATTCTCCATGTAAAGCTGCAATTTCCAAAAGTATTATCCTTTCTCTCTTTACACAAATATCTTTACTGATTCGGTGTTCATTCCAGATTCTCATTCAAATTAAAACCCGCAAAAATACAAACACTGGATCAAAAATATTACACTGAGACTGATCAAAGATTTCCTGCACTAGTATCTCAGTGAGCACAATATCAAGTATCAATCTGGATTCTTAGTCTTCGCCTGATACTTCCAGATATTCTAGTACAAAGAGATAAATAAATAGCCTTTTTCCTTACAACCTCAGATACAGAATAATAAGAGCAGGTTACTACCCATTAATCATAAATACTAGAAACTAACTTGGTTACTAGCTGGTATTCACCACTCTTACTGACGAGTACGAACTTGATGTGGGAGAGCACAAGACGCAGCTGCTTATTACTAATATTGATGATCTCCCGTACAAGATATACCAACATCATGGCACTGACTATCGTGCAATTTGGCGACTATTCGGTGTTGACATCAAACACAGTTGCCTTAGGAAGAAGATAATATCATCAACATTCACACGACCCGGGACTTTGGTTGGGTCTGCGGGATACATGAGGAGCCCTGACTTCCTAAAATAGAAGAATATCAAGCTTTATATGTTGAAGCACTCGGAGAACCCAGCATATGTCAGACACTTCTTATGAGGGTTACGCATCGGTTTAGCAAAGGCAAAAGGAATAAGGGTGTTGCGTAAGTCTTCTACTCTGTTCTCATACACCTTGCAAACCCTTACAAACCCAGTCTTCACTTATACTAAAAGAAATGACAACTTTGGCCTATGTGCTATTCAAGATATACTAGACTTTATCTTTCATGATGATGCATTTACTAATAAATATATTAAAGAACCGAGAGATATCTGGTATTATACTTACGTGCCAAACCACCGACTCAGCATCCCTATTCATTTTAAGGAAAAAGTCTAAGAGAATCGAGTTTTTATCTATACAGTAAAGAATGCAGAAGAATGGTGAATTACTTATTTAACAAGTACCTTGCCATATAAAAAGCTCCAGGAAGATAAAGTTATAATAAGCAGGAAAGATAGATCCAAGGTCTCAGGTTCTTTATATATAAATATCACAAAAACATTACTGAAAACCTTAATAAATTATTCATTTATAAAAACGACAGATTATACAAGTGTTAATATCTATAAAAAGCACTTAGATGAACACTCCAGGAATATTATCATGGGCCATAGCCGGAGTCATATATTTATATATTATATTCAGGTCCAGGACAATACCTAATCTGTCTATATAAATACCCCAACCAGAGACACTATAATAAAGCTGGCAACTAATTCAAGTTTAACCCCCCCGAGATATATCTGTGCCGCAACATTTAAGTAATAAAAAGAAACAAGATATTAAATAACTTACGCTGCAGAGGCACTTTGAAACGCATAACTTGGAACAGAAGTTCCCAAAAGGACGGACGTATGATCATCCTGGATTACGGGAAGGTCTTCTACACTCTCTCCAGGTACAAGCTTCATTTGGATATGGTACACAACGATTTCTCTATAGTAGGATCATGTTTTTATCGGAATGGAATTGTTTATATTCATAATCATACCTCTCAAGACCATCTGCAGGCAAGAGAAGCCGGCAGGACGGCTCCGGCCAAAATAAACCATCATCGCTTATCAGTGCCATCCTCCAGAGCTCACGATAATGGTCCAATGGCTACACTGTCATCTGGAAAAAGCACCACGGTCGGGGCTGTGGAGAGAAGTCTCGCGCGAAGCGGAGGTATGTATACCGAGTGCTGCGGCAGGCGCAAGGGTCTGCGGTGCCTGATTTCCTGGGTACGCGTGATAATGTCCTATGGAATGAAGAGCTTGGGCGCGCGCTAACCATCGACTTTCACTGCTCGACATTGAAATGTCGGCAGACTTTGCAGCGACCACGAGCCATAGAACGACGACTATGTCAGCCAGAGATAGGAGACCCGAAACGAGTTCGTGTGACGTGAGATAGTGTGTTTTCTTCTGGTGGATTAGCAATCTAGCTATGGATGGTAATGAAGCGTCAAATTGTTTCCGTCCTGCATCCAGAGTCAGTATTTCTACCTATTATCATTCTTGATGTCCACTTCTCTACGACATGGCCCCAGGAGATATACGATTCTATCTCCTTTGGCAACCACGAATGGGGTCGTCCAATTCCGGCTCTCGGACTTGACTATTGTGTAATCCCATGAATTATGTGAAAACGTTGATTCAACTATGAAGCTTCAGGACTGATATTATGGACTGTCGTGTACTAAGGAAATTATCACAATAAGAGCCGAACTGCTCGACAACAGCGAGGACGAGATAATTATCCACATGAGTTTGCTAAGTATACCTGTAAAATATACATCTCTTGTCTGCCGAACTCCTTCGAAAATTTCTGATTCGATTCGGCGGCTTACTCCAGGTATTTATGGCTCACTTGGCTGGCATCCGCCTCAGCGAGAGCGTGTGCGATTGGTGGTCGGCACATCTCATTAAATGGGAAAATGCTAAATTGTGCTAATAATAACACACGAACCTGCAAGAACCAAAACAGAAACCCAAGCATAAATGTAGACGATATACAAAATACCCTTTACCAGATCCAGCTGATGATGAAAAACGTATATCCCAGACAATTGGGGACCTAGCTCCAGTATGGCTCACGCAACATCTTCACCATAGCTATGTTCTTCTTCTTGTCGTCTTCCTTCTTTTTCTTCAATTTACTAAGTTGATAGGCCGAGAGTCTTCCAAGCGGCTTCGGTTCACGGAATGTGCTATCGCTCTTGTTGCCGAAAAACAAAGATAGGTATCGTGAGTCGTATAATCCAGGAACATTGTTCGGGAGGCGTGCGGCGCTGATGAAGTGTTTGAGGCCACCAACAGTGCCGGGTACTCTTTCAAGATTTTCCGGGGTACCCAGCCGGACGGCCGCTTCGATAAACGACATAGCAATCTCGATATAGACGAAAACTTGCTGTGCCGACGTGCAGGCTGCGCCCCTCCGGAACTCAATGGTTCCATTGGGGCTGTTCAGGAGGTAAAGAAAATTCCACCCAAACATTTTATCGTGATTTGGATTCATGAGAAGAACCAATTCTCTCATGCTGGGAGCGCGTTGAATTGCGGCAATGCTCTGCTTTCGAGATAGATTCCGGTGGCCGAAATTCACGTTGTCCAACCAATTACTTCGCGCATATTCGTTTGATAGTCGGTCCTCGGGCAACAGAGCCTCAAATGCGGGCTCAAAGTGAATAATACTTTGACATATTTTCTTCAGGTCGGCGAGGCTATAACCCCCTGCCCGTGAAAGATGCACATGTGTGCCGCAGCTAGTATTGGTGCTGACTTGAAAATCGGTTCTCAGAAAGTTCCACAGAAACTCAATGTGCCGGCGCCAAGTGGAGTTTTCGTGAACTCGGAATATTGGGGAGATGCTCTCCAAACCCCCTAGAAGACGTGTTGTGAGCTGACCGAATGACCCAAAGACTAGAAGTTTTCAGTAGGTACTTACACGGCGCCCCTCCACGATTTGGCATCTCGATTGTTGAATCAGAGTCAAGAGACCACTCAGCAAATTGCGGTCCAAGGTATGGTTCATCGATTGCATTGTGCATCTTCGGATGACGTCCAGGAGCGACTCTCGCAAGGAAGCTGGGAAGATGGAGAGTAATGGTAACAAGAAGGGCAGCTATTCGGAGCACTTGAGAACGATGCTAGGAATTCGAGGGTTCCACCAGACCATACCCTGGTTTTATATCTACTTTCGCATCCTCGAGACAAGCTGTATTCTTACAAATTAAACGCCCTTTCTAATAATAACCCCTTCGATTCTTATTATCCTGTATCACGAACGGCTCACTATTGCGAATCAAATGATACCAGAACCTCCTGTTCGAAACCAGCGAATCGCCTTGGTGGGTCTTCTAGTATATATATTACTATGTATAGTTCTCATGTCACGTCACCTATTTCGAGTAACTATGGGGCCAGCGCTTAGAGATAACGCGGGGGCCTTGGCGGCTGTTACATAATACACGTAAACCCCGAGCTAGAAGATGGAAGCTTCAATCAAATTTCATCCTTCAGCTCGTTCTCACCTCCACCCTGCAGACACCCTGTTGGCTGTCAACCGAAGAAATGTCTGACAACCAAGGAGACAAGGGAGCCGCTGGCTCTGCTGCTCTCCCTCCTCCTCCACCTCCTCCTCCGCCCGAAGATCCAACCTCGAAAGTCTCCCCGTTCGTCATGAAGCTGAGGTCTGCTCCTCCTGGCTATTTCTTCCAACCCGAAAGGCCACCACCTTATGTAGATCCATTTGCCGCGCCCACCGGCCCTTATTTCTTCTACGGCACCCTGTCTGATCCCGCTATGCTCCGCGATGTCCTTGGCTTGGAAACCAAGCCACAGCTTCGACCCGCCTCCATTACAGGCTACGAATGCAAGCTATGGGGCCAGTATCCAGCGCTCCTAGATGCCCCAGGAAAGGTTGTTTATGGGGCTGTCTATAATGTCATGACAGAAGAGCATGGCCAGAGGCTTGCTAGCTATGAAACAGATAACTATCGGGCCGATCCGTGTCGCATTAACTATACTGACGGGAATGAGCCCGTGGATGACTTTGGTTATGTTTTTAAATTTGTCGGCAATTTCAGAGACTTGAGTGACGGCACCTTTGATCTGGGGACTTGGCTAAGGAGGGTGAAGAGGGTAGCTGAGGACTCACCAGATGTTAAGTAGTTGCAGGCAACAAAGGCATGTATCTTGACTCCCAGTACTAAGAACGGATAATGTTATTTATGTGAATTGAAAAGAGCGATGGACGTGTGGTGAGCTCGAATGCCAGGCTTTTGAGGCAACAATCTTAATAACCTCTGCCTTGCGATGGTTGCGAAGCGTCTTTGGTTAACCGCCTGAACATCATCGGCATAGTGAGGAAGCTTTGGGGATAATACTTACCAAGTCCTGGTTGGGAAGAAAACCATTTTGGTCATCCGAGTCAAACATGTAAATCTGGCCATTCTTTCTAAGCCGAATCACTTACGAGACATCCGCGTCACACTTTTGACAGAATTCAAAATGCTTTGCGGAATAAGGTGTCTCCTCGTCGTTGATATTGAAAAGTACATGAGCTTCAGGTTATTGTAGTAGCCTCGGCTAGGCGTACATTTCACTTGGCAGGCGGGTTGATGTACATAGTACCGCGGCCCACGGACCCGCTATCTCTTTCGGCGAATAGGAAAGACCCTGGAACGATAATTCGCCCTCTCACCGGGAAATCATACACAGGCTGCCTTTTGGTAAAGATACTTGATGTTTGTTTCTTTTTTACTTCCCCCACCACCAAAAAATATCTACAACGCACAAGATCCAAAAGAATCAATTTCTTCAGCAGTCAGTCAATGACTACTTACTTGGTGAAAGTCATAGTTATCTAGAAGAAAGGGATGAGTGTATGGCATTGTGATTGGTTGAAAGTAAGTGCCAAGCTTCAGTTCTGGAGATTGAATATATTAATCACGTGAACAAAACATTACCCTGCAGATACGTAGTTAGGATCGAGAATAAGATAATGCTAGGGCATTGACAGACAAAACCCCTGGCTGGTTTGTATATAACTATTTTATCTGGACCTGAATGCTCTAAATAACCGATTTAGTGAGGTCGGAAAGTTTATTGAAAACGAAACCTAATCTATCATTGAAGTCAAACTGGAGCCAGTCGGGTAGTAATTAATCGGTACTATTGTATAGTGTGGCTCCGTCTGTAAAAAATTGGACTTACAATCATCTAATTCTACAAGATTTGCATGAGACTGGCTTATATGGTATTACCATGATGAAATCCCGCCCCCGAGCGTATCTGAGAGGTGTAGGGATTATCTATGCACGGGCCAGAGATGAGGGAGGTCTTGCTGTCTATAGTATGTATCCAGTTTTTTTTGGGGGGGGTGGGGGCGGGAGAATAATCTTCCACAGCTAGTGTATAATACATACATGTGTTGGACATCATGGTTACTCCAAATCTATACTATGTATAGTAAGAAAGCTGGACAATTGATACCACTATTTAGTTGGTTGCTGAAGAAAACGAAGCAATCTATCAATGGGAACGGAATGAATGACAGAGATACACCAGCGATAAGGGGAACGTTCAAGAATAAGAAGAGAGGAAGGAAGAGACAGATCTGAAGCCCAGTAGAAATCATATAGAGCCCCTATATCAATGACAAACACTCATCCGTATACTCCCAGGCTGATACCCTTCATTCATCTTCAGCCCCTCGCAAATATGTCCTCCGCAACTTCCGTGGGTTGTATTCACCATCACTACCCTCATCAACAGCTTCCTCTTGGTTCACTCCCTCCTTCTCTGCGGTATTGGTGTGACCCTGCGCGACATAAATGGGCTTATCGCCAGCAGCAGCCCACCGAGCCCGAGCTTTGGGCCCCTTGGGCGCCGTCAGAACCCTCGCGGTAACGATCTGGAGAGGAGGCCGAGATTGCCAACCATTGGTCGCTACAATGTCATGATAGCTGTAGTGTGGGCGTGTCACGATTAGAACCCGAGCACCATGGTGAGGCATGAAGCCGACGTGAAGGATATGATGATCCATGTTTTTGGAATGGCGATCAAAGGTCGGAAGCTCAGGCAGTAGTTCAACTACAAGATTGCCAAACATATCGCCTTGGAGACTGGTGAACTGATGGGCAGCTTCCTCTAGGACTTCGCGAGTTCTTTCTTCACGTATGGCCTGATCTTCCTCGCTCAGTGAGCCTCGGAATAAGAGCTGGAATGGCTGGCTCGCTAGCAGTTCGTCCCCATACGCCTTTAGAAGGGCCTTCCGGCGTTCCAGTGTCGCATGAAGGAGTGGTGTGGGAGGAGGATTGGACACCCATTCTGACGCTCTCATCATACATACGCTCACGAGGGTCGACTTCCACCAGGCTGCGTCTATGGGCAATGCTATGCAGAAGGAACAGAAAAAGGGTAAAGTTAGCGACATTGGCTCCACAGCGTGGGGAGAAAACAAAGAGGGTGGAGGAGGACGAAGGGGTCTTGAAACCTACTTGCTTTGAACCTCTCATAGACATAGTCGAGTCGTTTGCAGAAGTTGTCATCTCCTTCCTGGTCAGCAGCATCCATTTTTACATCCATGAACCAGAATGTAGAGGCGGCAATTTATCATAGATGAACTTATTCATCATGGTTTCCAACAAAACAATCCCAAATTCAGCACGACCGCCAGGGGGAAGAGAGGAATATATCCTGTCCCAGTCATCTTGGACACAAAAACCATCCAGACTTGCAATGATCATCCGTTTGTCATCATCGGAGAGACGGTACATCGGCTTGCTCTCACCCCATGCCATGGCCCAGCCCTGGACGCGTAGAGCCAGCAGACTAAAGCCGTTACGGACTATTTCCGGAGCGGATCGTATATGAGGTCGTGTGAGCATGCCCATCATAAAATGATGTTCCATTATGTCATGATACTCCTCTTGTTGACAGAGATACTCTCCATTGGGGTACACAGCTGGCCCCTTTCCCTTCTCTTGTACGGCAGGGGGAGGACGCTTGGGCGGCATTTGCTTTTTCCGAGTGGTGACCATACTGGCTATTGGTCGGGTGGCTCGAGTGGTTCAAGGAAGTCCAGTAGAAGAGGTAGTTCTGGGTTGGCCTGGGAGAGGGGAGGTGGGAAGAATGATGAGGAGGAGAAGGAAAATGGGAACAACAGTAAACGGAGGGGAAACTGAGCAGGTTCAAAGAGAAAGATTATCGGCTGGAAGTATGCTTCTTCTTTCTCTCATTCATCCATCATTAATTCTTTGAAGTCATGTCTATCCGTTCGTTTTCAAGCTTCTTTGCGGCTCATTGGCCCTTAGGGCTGCCCGGCTCTTTGTGAGCCATCACCCATATTCTAGAAAGCCGCCTGAGGATCTCAGGCGCGACAAAGCCTTCCTAGATGCCATTCAACTGAGTAACAAATATTTGTTCAAGACAGGAAGAGGATTAACCGTAAGCATAAATATGACAGAGAGAGACATACACGGTCAGATGAGCTGAAGCGATAAAAGAAGCCATTCTGAGGCCTCATTCAGTGAGCAGCAGTGGTACCAGCGAGTGTCCATGGAATGGGTATGGATACGACTCACAAATTGAACAACTAATTAGGGGATGCAGTAATAATATAGTTATAGCAGAGTCACAACTATAAGATACACAGATCAAGGCCGTGGCACGCATCGATTGACCAATTGAGAATTCAGTTAGAAATTCGCTAAGTTACGGGTGAACCGAGTCATGGCCTTCACCTCCCAGCCTGTTATAAAGTCATCCAATACGTATCACCCAGCTGCCGCTAGTTATGGTCTTTGGATATCAGCTAATCTGTCCCAAGTTTCTTCAAGTCTTAGGGACATGTATACTAAGGTGCTTGACATTGCTGATGGACTAGCTTGCAGGCGAGGCAAATAATAGGATAAAGAAAGCTAGTCAAATACTATTAACTAACTGATCTTTCTTCTGAAAACTTACTTCTTATCTTCTAATAAAGAGAGAATCGATGTTATCTACTTAATCAAGCACCTTGATATGGTGCGTATATCCTATGGAGATTCGATACTGCGGTCTTCGGTAATTATTAGCTCTAGTTAAGAAGGACCTTGAGACGGAATGAGACTCCGACTTACTTCCTTCAGTGTTTTTATGGGATCCGGGTCGGTTTAGCTGGGTTTTACTGTTTAACCTTTTCTTTTGGGACTAGCTATGTATGTATCTATTGGCGACGGAGAAATGCATTTCGTGAATGGTCCAACGGTCATGGGGGAAATCACTTGTAGGTCAGTAAGTTGCTTCGCTTGGCATCGTTAGATGATTAAGAGGAATGGACTTGGGGTTGTGTCGATTGGAGGTCGATATCTTAACCTACTGTTTATTTTGGATAGCATGTTGGAATTCAGTTCAGTTCATTCGTAAGCTATATAGATAGATATCCAAAGTCCTGATGAAGGACAAACCATCCGTGTGCTTGTTTGCATGCATCCATCCGAGGATTCAAACTCCCGACGACCAGACCAGGTTCAAAAACAAGCAAAGCAACAAGCATGCAAAATATAGCAGACGCAGAGAAAAAGCTCAGATCAACCAGCTGAAGCAAGAATAAGATGAAGACCAAGAAAAAGTTCAAATGGTGGGGGAATATTGTACAGAGAATTGAAGAAACCAGGCATCGCAAACGGTGCATAAGTGCAAGAAGTGAAAAAAGAAACAAGTCCTAGCCAGTTATCCAGAATTGAACCAAACGCCTTGATCATCCAACCGTCCATCCGGTCCGTCCATCCATCCGTGGACCGGTCACCACCACCTGTCACATTGCAAACGCCGAAAAGTGATATGTCAAATATGTTAGGGGCGCAGCTAGTAGGCTCATTGCCTGACCTCAGCGTTCCCGGTTTTGGAAGTGAGCAATCTTCCTCCCGATGGGAGAGAAGGTCATCACATCCACATATGCATGCGTGAGAATAATGTACATAGGAAAGTAACAAAGGAAATCAACAAAGGAAATTGGTGACATAGGAAAATAGCAACAAAGCGCCGGAGCACAGTCGTTGCTTATGCAGCCATACCGGTTGGAGGGTAATGGCCTGGAATCTGCAGTTCAAGCGTCGACACACTATTCTTGGACTGCGGTGGAGGACGCCTGAGGCTTCCGGTTTGCGAGGCAGCCGCCGAATCGGTTGTGACAGGTCCAGCCAGTGGCGTCCGCATTGAGCCGTCTACCGAAGCCGCCGATGGTTGCTTCGTAATGCCCACACCGTCCTCCACCAAGGTGTCATCTTGAGCGTCAGACTCTTCCCGTTCATCAATCGACGTGGGCACGGTGGTATGCGTGTAGTCGGTTACATTCGTCGTTGTTGGTGCAGTTGATGTGCTCTCGCCGCGCTCCCTCTGGCGGGTCAGAGAAGGGTCGCGAGAGTTTGTGGACCCAAGTCCCGCCACATATAAATTCGTGGTACTCCCTCGATCAGATCCGACTCTTTCCCGGTTGTCGTTCGAGTTTTGGGTGTGTTGGCCAAACTGTCTCTGTCGACCGCCATCTGACGTGCTCATCCAGCTGCCATAGTAGCTATCGTGTCTCTCCACTGGAGCTGCAGCAGCAGCACTACCAGCACGGTTCTGGCCCATCTCTACATCATTGCTGAACGAATCCCGACCGTCAGGTAAGGAGCCGGCTGCGGCTAGAAGATCTCTCTCGCCAGAGCTCTCACCACTAGAGGGTGACAGTGGAGCCTCCAAATGGCGGTCTATTTGCACGTCACTGGGGAAACGCCCGCCCGGTTCGCGAGGCTGAGACGTCGGACGTTCCTGGTGCAAGACTGCGGACTCTGCAGAGTACGGTGTGCGGTCTGCTTCGTCTTCATCCATCCCATCACTGCTGTTCCGCCAACTCATGCCACTCACAGTTCGAATATGCTGCCTCACATATGCATTCCGAGCCTCGCCAGTCTTCGAGATGAGGCTCTCGATGTCTTCATACCAGGCCATCATCGTATCGTGCGATTCCGCGCGGAAGACCCAGGAATGGCCCCGGTGCATTGTCCCGGTCTGTCGCCCCTTGAGCATGAATTTGTGCGATGTCGAGTCTGGCTGCGAATGCGACCCCAGCTTCTGTTCGGGAAGGTTCAATGACATCACCGGTTGTTGCCATGCGACTCGATCGGCAGACTTGAACTCGTGAAGATGAGTAGGAGACAGAACATACCTACTCAAGTCAGCAAAAATTATTTCAGGACACATGGGACCTTCATCCCGAGTGATACTCACCAGCCGGGTGTATAGCTCTTGAGGTACTTGCTTTTGCGCTCCAACATCCCGGATCGGACCTCCACTGCCGCGGGATGATCCCTACCCGGATATGTGATATTCTCCACATCGCGAAGAGGAACGCGCGGATCGACCAATTCATCCGTGTTCGCGATGAAGGAGTTCCACTCGTGATCGTGAGGCATGGAGATCGGCCCCGCGCGCAGCTTTTCGACGGTGTCATATGTCTCATCTGCTTCACGCTTGAGGATGCTGGCATATGCATTATATGCTTTCTGAATCTCGCCGACAACGATGGACTCGAGCTCGCGACCCGAATGTTCCAGATTCAAGAATGCCTAGAAAACGTTAGTGCTCCGCATCCTGCAATTTTGCTGACGAACCACATACCCGGTGCAGGTAGTTTTCCTCTTCGATTTGCTTCTCAATTTGCCTGTCCACGCCCAGGCGAACAATGAACGGATCGCCTCTTCCAGAGGTTGCAGAAGGGTCGGTGTCAACTAAACCCAGCGCTTCGTGCAAGTGTCGAACCGTTTTGCGGGTGGCGTCGACTTCCTTCTCCACGGAGTTACGGAAATCACCAGAGAGACCCCGGATTTCCTTGGTCTTCTTCTGCAGATCGTTTCGCAGACCCATCAGCTGGTTCACGACTTCGCTTTCCACCTCCGCGGCTTTGTTCGCTTCCAGGTATCCTTGTCGGTGAAAGTCGCGCAAAATGTCGGTCGCATCGGACAGACCACCGGATTTGAGGAACGTGGGGGGAAGCGATGTGTTCTGCATGATATTGGATGCTGATAGGAACAATTTTGATCGGGTTTCGTAGGACTTCTGCACTTCCTTGAAGAAGATAATAAGATCCTTCAGGACCTTGCGCCATGCTACCATGAATTAGCACACCAGAGACCCAAAATCGGGGACAACATGCTGAAATACCTTGAAATCGATTGGCCAGAACCTCAGTCGGGCTTCCATTCGTGGGAATAGGAACATAGAAAGCGCTGTTCGGATCTTCGCCATCGGCGCCATACTTTTCTTTGTCACCCAGGACCAGGCTCCGTACACTGCCCGCGCGCAAGCTGCGCTTGCTACCGCTGCGGCGCATACTGCCCCTCTTGCTGAGGGATGCTTTCTTCTTCAATGTACTGGTCCGGGTCGGGGTCGCGGAACGGGTTTGTGACATTTGGGAAGCGGATCGCTGCATGCCGGATGGACCGTCTACCGAGTCACGCTGACTGGCGACATCGAATTCCTCATGGAAGCGGCCGTTATACGGGTGGGAGGTTGGTGCCTCAGGATTGGCGCCGTGCGCAAGGTAACCGGAGGTGCTGGCGACGATCGAGTTCGGCCGGGAGCTAGAGCGCGTGCTGTACCCGCGATTTAACAGCAGATCGGGGTGGTGTGGAATAGAGCCGTAAGTGTCCTGCACTGGCGTTTGCGACCTAACGGCCATAGCCATGGCTGGACAGGAGGAGGGGAAGGGGAGGGAAGAGGGGGAGGGAGGAAGAGGAGGAGGCGGAGGAGGGCGGTGATGTGACGGACAACGGAGAGGGTGGTAGCAGTTGGGAACAATCGGGCGGTGCAGACCTGGCTAGGCCCGTGTGTCGATATCGAGCGACCGGGTGGTTGCAAGCTTGGGTGCAAGACAGTTCCGGATGCGGGCGGCCGTGATAAGAATATAAGGGTAAGGTCTGATAATATATCATGAAACGCGATATAAAAAAAGAAATGAGAATAGGAGGGGAGAGAAAAAAAAGGAGAGAGATCTGAATCCACCACCCCGGAACGAATCACAACGGATCTAGTTTTGGGGGGGAGAAGGGAGACAGGATAGTACGGAGTAGATAGTAGTGGTAGTGGTAGTGGTAGTAGTGGTAGTGTTAAGCAAGCCTAGCCGTGGTTACCAGGGCGAATTGGGGGGAATCAAGCAAGTGGAAATTAGCGACCAGCCGGAAGTGTCTCGACTCTGGCCCAAAGGGTCTGGGGCGGACTGTTTGCGGGGGCAAAAGAGCCAGCAACAACTCCTATCCGTCCGGCGCAATGGTGCTTTGTCGTCGTCGTCTGCAAGTCGGTGCACCAACACAGCAAGTAGAGAGGAAAGGACGGGTTAGCGGGTGAGACTAGTACGATTGCGCTCGCAATAGTGGCCGGAGTAGTCGGTGCAGGAGCAGGAATAATCAGCAGCCGATCAGAACGCGTCTCGGGGGTTATTATTTAGTTTCCCAGGGAGATTGGGCCCCACCGGGTCGAAAGGACGAGGGAAGAGAGGAATGGATCCCAGAGTAATAGTAAGTAATAAGGGAAGCGGGAGCCAAGTGGGAGTAGTACGTAGTATAACAACTACTAAGTACTGAATGAGTGAGGGTAGGGGCAGGGGAGAAGTGTAAGTCAGTGACAAAAGATCCGGCGGCAGGTAGATCGACAATATAGTTGGTAGTGGAGGGATCCAACTCATCCACAAACAGAATGTAAAACTCAGGAGAAAGCACGAGAAATCCTCCGATGCAAGTTCAAACTGTTTCTCTTGCTTCTTGCTCGTCGTGATAAAAGGGGGGGAAATGATGGAAGCTATAATTCAAGTGCCGGTTCCGGATGACGTCTACGCCGGACAAAAGCACCCAGTTGTTTGGTGAAAGTCTGCGACGGTATGACGCCCAAAGGTTGGAACGGAATCTCCGGGCCCGACTTGACTTCACCAGATCCTTGAACTAGAACCAGCCAGACACACGAAGAGTCATGCAATCAGAGCTGAGAGATCGGGGTAGTCGCAAAGTAGTTGTAGATAGTTTGCTTGTGATCGTGGTCGATCGGAATGGTCTCCTTTTCCAGAACAGGACCACTAGATGATACCGCATTCGTCGCTAATTAGAGTCGACACTCTCAAGAATAATACTAGCAGTATAAAAATAACCTCCCCACGGAAATGAAGAGGAAATAAATATTAATAAAACAGAAGGATCTGCCCCTAAGGAACAGACAGACAGGCAGGCAGGCAGATAGACACTGTTAGTTAGTAAGTAGTATTGCTGGGGAACTGGAAGTGGGTTTAATGCCGTTGCCTGTTCCCTTGTTCAGGAGAGGCGAAGCTGGCAAGTCATCGTCATCACTTCCCCTCCGCCAACATCATCACAGTTCGTATCCCGCCCAAACTAATCATAAAAGGGTCCCCAGTAGTAAGCTGGTAGTAATCGTGAACTACTAATTGTTGAGTGCCTCCCCGCCAGGAAAATCATTCTGCCTTTCATCCTTGCTGTTTGAGAAGACAGTAGTGAATCCTACCGTGCAGCACCACTAGCAACAACTCACTGAAATGGCAGCAGATTAATTCAAGGCCGGACTGAAGGAGTGGCTTGTTCATCGGTCTGCACTTACCTCTTCTGGCCAAGCAAGGCTGGTGGGTGTGGCTATGCTTGCATCTGACTGGCTGAACGGGCAAATTGCTTGGCCGGGGATTGTCCGCTGGGCCAATCACTCTCCCCAATACATACTCATCTAAGCGGAAATGGCAGTCATCATAAAATAAATTTCATCCACATAGTACAAAGTATCATTTTGTACCCTCTCCACTGAGTCCACCAGCCCGCTCATCGGGGGGTTGGCTTTTCTAGCGCCGGCGCGCAATCGTTCTTCATGGCTTCGATGGAGTTCCCCCTTTTCCCTTCCCTAGGTTCCCTTACCCCCCTCCTACCTTGCCCCAACGCGGTGGCAACTGTCTCTCTCGCGAACTGCACGTAGAGAAAGAGGGAAAAAGGAGGCTGTCGGGCCGATCGTCGTGGTTCTTGTCTTCTTCCCCTTTTGGGTATCGTCAAGGCAGCAAACCAGAAAGTCCGACACCAACTCTGACCCCTCGACGTCATGCACGGTTCATCATGTTCATGTCGATCCGGATGGATTTCCTGCGATGGGGTTCGACATTGGGATTTTCTTTTCTAGTGTTGCAGTACTTTGTACGGGTACACCCACACACACCTTGCCTCTTAACTTGCTTGCTTATTTACCCAGCTGAACTGCTGTGGCTCAGAAATTCATATTCAAGTTAAGCGTCGAACTTAAATTCTTCTAAATGTATTTCTAACGCAATCATGAGCCCACCGGCAATCTCCATATCAATCTACTTGACGTAGCTCACTACTGTACGAGTACTAGAATGTTGCGAGTGTAATCTGCATTGCTGAGATTAGGGAGTAGTTAGCAGGGTCGACGGTTGGTCCAGATTTAGTAGCAATCTACTCCATAAGCCAGCCAGCACTTACATACATACATACATACATACAGGGTAAATGTATCATGCATAGCGTGCAAGTGATCAGTAATGGCAAACAAACTATTTCTGCCACCTTACTAAGTAGTTCTTATCCATCACTTTTCAATGATGAAGCTATCCAATGAACATTGACCGACGGAAACATCAAAACCATATCCCAGCTGCTGATCCGATCAACTCCGGCTGGTTCCAACCTTTAAAGGGGGGTGTTTGGTTCCCTCCCTCCCCGAGGGGAAGAAAGGTGATATCATATTTTCCCCTGCATCTGATTATCGTGCACACCCCCTTGTATCAATGTCAATAGATTGACAGAAACCACCACAACGTACTAAGTACTGCTCACCCTTTCCCCCTCCCCCAGCACCGTAACACCAGTCTCATACTACTCTACTCCGCGGCTGTCCTGCAGGTTGTCCTGTCTGTTCGTTACCTTACTTGGTACTTCATTGCTGACCTGCCCGACCAAACCAAACTTGAAACATCATCTTTATACAAAGTACGGAGTACATGGCTATCTATTTACGTAGTGCAGTGAGAGAGAGTATAGTAGTTCACTTCATGTTCTGTGTGACAGAACGCCCACACCCATTTTGCCTGAGATTGGATAAGCCGGCCGTGTGATTGGCTGACAGACTGGCGGGTTCAGCTGCCCTCCCCGCCTTTCGCCGCTTCGATCCCAGCAGTCAGCCGGTATTGGTGGTATCAACTTATCGGCGGTGTCACTGTCACCTGCTTGTGCCGTTCGTCTTACTTACCGATCTTATGGAACCTTTTCCAGGGAAGTGAAGCGTACAGTAAGATGGGGAGAAAAAGCAAACTTGCATATTGCCCCTGCGGTGAACAAGTTGTATAGTAGATGATAGTTTTGAGTGGTTTCTGAGATAAGTTGTTCTGTGTCTACTGGCCGGGCACCTGATCTGTTTGTCTCTGCTGAGCTATGCTACGCTATGCTATGCTATGTTTTGCTACCCCTCGCCTCTCACAGCTTGGCTGCTCTCGGTGAACAGATCATGCATTGATGCTATGTAGAGGTACTAGCTGGGTGTGCTGTATCTATTTTCGGAAATTGTAGCCGGTCGGTGACCCGTGTAGTATTTCTTTGATTTAGAACAGAAAATGGAATCTTCATTGGTGGAGGTTGCCATGTCGGCTAGCTGAACGGCATCGACAGAAATAAGAAAAGATGTAGTAGTAGTTTTACACAACGAGACTGAGAATTGAGGGACTGCGCAGGAGAGATATCTAACAAAACCATGTTCATGATGCCGGAGCCGTTGTGGGAACCTCGATACCGTATGCCTCCTTGATTCTCTCCGCCCGTCTCTCGGCGTATCCAGGGCCATAGATACCTGTGTAACCGGGTTAGCAACCTCGTGGGTTCTCTTCCAGCGGACGGCCATCTGCCTCCAACAGAAGAAAGACGCACCTCGTCCCTCGCCCAATTCGGCAAGAGTCTGCTCTGCGGGGATTCTGTATGTCTTCCGGAGCTGTTCCCGACGCTCAAACTCGTCGATATCGGTGTTCTTCTTGTGGCCAAACAACGATCCACCGGTGTATTCGAAAGCGCCCGTGGCGGTGGCCAGAGCGACGCCGTAGCCCAGGAGGGCGGGGAATGTGCGAGCTGCGGACCTGTCAGAACCAATGTTTGATCAATTGAACGGTCGGATCGCGGGCAACAGACCTCGGAGACCCAGGATGGCGCCGGAGAAGAAACCTCCCAGAGCGACGTTCCAGTGGTCTTCCTTCTCACGAAGGTTGGCGGATGCGGTCTTCACGAATTCGTAGGTACCTCCCATGGCGGCTGGACGCGAAAATCGTTAGCAACCTATTGAATCCAGAACATATTCGCTAGGCGTCCACAATTGCATTCATACCGAAGATACCGACGGTACCACCGCTCCGGATGAACACGCCCAGCGGGCCGACGTTCTGTCTGGTGAGGGTGTTCTGGACGGCCGAGGCGAAAAGACCCGCTCCACCAGTGAGCATAGTGGTCTTCATCGATGCCGCGATCGCATCCTTGGGGTGGTAGTGCTCTTCGTGGTGCGGAGCCATGGTGGCGGTTGAGGAGCTGGGGATTAAGCTGTGGCTGTCACTCTCGAATGTCGTCCGGACGGAGATGAGATTCGATGAATTTGGGACCTCGCGCTTTCTGCCTCAACAGACCGCCTTCCCCAGGTTCCCAAGCTTTCCCAGTCCGTTTGACCAGAGCATCTGATCTATGCCCAAACCTCTTGATTTCCTCCCTTGGCGTGCGGGCATCATTCTCTGTCACCTCCTGCACGCTTGGTGGTTGTCTTCTATCATTTTTTAAAGCTGTTCGCGTTGAGAGTGGCGGGTCGTTCGCTGGGAACTTGCCGCCTGCTCTGCCTCACTTGCTGCAGTGACTCCCCGCTGTTACGACGATCTAACGGTCCAGCTTTCTGTTTCCAATAGAATCGAATGTGTTCGATACAATAACGTGGACCATCCCTGCAAGAGAGTCGCGTCGTTATCCTTCGTTTAATTTACAGACTTTATGTGAATAACCCCACAGATAGCTTTAAATTCCGTTTGCTAAGGTTCGCCGGCAACTGTGAGCTCATAAGGGCCTACCCATGTCGTCTCCGCAGAAGCCTGGTATGCATCACAGCCTCCTATAATCCGGATCACTTTCTCAGCGTCCTGGGCACCTGCAGAGAATGCGCAGTTGGACTAATAATTATCTCCTCTTCTTCTAGGCAAGACTGCCCCGCGTCTTGTGCAAGATATCCACGACTATGACCCTGTTCATCCTCCAGGCTCCGGCCGCAACCTGCTGTCGGAGGTCCCCCCGGTCTTCCCCGATCACTATATTGGACCATCAGAATTCATATCGCCTTCAGCATGCCGTCACACTTATGTGATCAAATCGAAACAAAGCTTCCTACCAAAACCAGAGCAGAGAAGCAGCTCATGCAACCCCACCAAAGTATCAGCGATATGCTCCAAGTGCCGATACCATCTGCAGCTGGTCGTGACGTCGACACCTGGGATCGGCAGTCAGAGTGTGCCGGGACACATACACCATCTGGTATATAAGTCAGGGAGGCAGAGAGGAGGTGCAACGGCAGAAGAAATCACACCCAAGGGCCAGGTGGCGGAGACCTTCCATTATGACTGCTCCTACCTCACTTGTCCAACGACAGTGTCCGTCAGGATTGTCTCTCCTGTGCTACATCCAGAATGGGTACAACTCTTGACCGATCCGCAGTTGCTGCAGCAGCGAGCAGATGAGGCGATTGCAACACATCCCGAGCGCCTGGAAGGGATAGCTCGGCCGCAGCCCATTAATGTCTTGGAAAACTTGCGCACATATATTATTAACGCCTTCAATCCCAGTCAACAAGGTAAATCCATATCAGCGATCAACAAGAGGTTCATGGCGTGCTTCGGTGTTGAAGGCAGGCCTTGCAAAGACCTGTTGGAATTCTTAGGTTTCTCTGTCAAGGTCCGTATATGCCTGCCGATTGCTGCGACATTGATACCTAACTCTACATAGAACGAAGGTTTCTGGGAGCCTCCGCGCCCCAACGCCTGGGCCGAAGTGCCCTACCAGGATCAACTCAAAATATTCCTCGATGATGTTCTACATGAGCTTGCTGTGCTCATCGAGCATAGGCCAGTACTTGAGAAGAAGGGCCACCAGGTGGAATTTTCATATCAAATAGCAAAGAATGACCTCTTGAGTGCCCTGGAAGCATTAGACTGTAGGTCAACCACCACTCTTTCAAAGGCTGCATGCTTACCAAGCTCCTGCAGACCAGAAGGCTCTCAATGTCGACTCATTCGAAATGCCCCCTGCTCCGTACGTGCTATACAGACTTGACCTGTTGACGTCGACTGACGAAGGTTTAGTTATTACGAAGATCTGGGCGTTGTGGAAGACATGTCTGCGCAATTGATTATTGAGGCGTTCAATCGCCAGGTTGCCGTAGACCCTGGTCGCATGCCCACATACCTGAAATGTCTCAAAGCGATAGGTAATCTTAGAGGGGGCTACGAAGCTGAAGCCATTGACCAGGCCGTTCAAGTGGCTTATGCCGACGGCAAATACACTGATGACGATGTGATCAATGCTTACAAGTACTTCGGTTTGACCCATGACGATCCGCGGCTTACCGAGGACAGCATCATTGGGACCTTCCATGCTTACTTGAGCTCCACCACCCAGGAGACAGAATCGCGCAGAGAACTGTGGAAGATTGGAGACAGCAGGCGCAGTGAGCGCATAAAGTCAGCGGCCGAAGATAGTGAGATCTCCCACAGCGAGCGTTCGAGATCTGCAGCTAACAGGGCAAAGGAGTGGCAACTGTTGAGCAAGCGCAAGTTTACCTTGGTGTGAGCGAGGAGACAAGCGATGACTTCATCATGGCCATGTATACAGCTAAGGTAAACGCCGCCAATTACTAATCCATGTAAATGTGCGCTGATGTCCTTTTCAGGTCAATGACACACCATCAAGCCGGGATCTTGCGCGCCGTGCCGTTGAATTTATTGCGGAGGCGCGGAAATCGGATGCTCTTCGACACTTCGTCAGAACTGGCGAGATGACAGCGGGTGAAATGGATATCGGGGATGCCTACCGGCTTCTCCAAATTCCTGATCGTACCGTTGACGATGGAGCAATTATGGCGGCTTATACGATATGCGTCGATGAAGCCCCGGGACAAGCTGAGACGTACAATCAAGCATTGCGCATAATTGCCAAAGACAAGAATAGCACGCTGCTGGGAAGTATGGTTTCTGATGATACAAAGCCGGACCGTAATATGTCGGAATGGCCCGTTGGATTGCAGAACATCGGCAACACATGCTACCTCAATAGTCTGCTACAATTCTATTTCTCTGTCCGCCCATACAGGGAGATGGTCTTGGATTTTGAGAGTTTCAAGATGGACTTGACTGATGAGAGCCTGAGTAAAAAACAGGTGGGATCACGCAAGGTCTCTAAGAAGGAGGTCGAACGTTCACAAAGGTGTAAGTGCGCTGTATTTCACTTGTATGACCGTAAAACTAACGCAGATTCTATGTAGTTCTCAGAGAATTAAGGACACTTTTTTCCGACATGATTACTTCCCCATCCTCTCATGTCACACCGGGCCAGGAGTTGGCGCGGTTGACATTGATCAGTCCTTCTAACGAAGCAGCGATACGTCGTCGGTCTACAATCTCCGCGTACAGGCCCGCAGGTGCCCTAGGTGAAATCAACGGCATGCCGGTACTAGGACCTCTTGGGCCGCCGCAACCGATTCCGGAGAAGGAAGTGGAGAAAGAAGCGGAGAACCAGACGGCTACCGAAAGCGAGGGTGTCAAGCGCTCGACAGTTAGCGATGTCGATAGCGAGGCCACACTTGTCTCTGATGGTGTCAAGAATGACATTAAATCTCCTCCGATTGACGATAAAGAGAACGAACCTCCGGCTGATCTGGACTTGAAAGACGTGCAGGATGAGCCTAGATCTGATTCCGCCGAAGTAGGGTCCCCCGGCGATACAACACCCATAGACAATGTCGAACCTTCCAATCGACCACCGCCAGTGCCTCCGCGACCCACCCCACAAGTCGACCCCCAGAAGCAGCTTATAGAAGAGGTAGAGATCGGAGCGCAGCAGGATGTGACGGAGGTTATCAACAACGTGCTTTTCCAGAGCCAATGTGCTATCCGGCCCATTGCTCATTCTCCGGAGGGCGAGCAAATTGATCAAGTGAAAGAGTAAGTCAGGAGCCGTCTGGGCACGAATATCCCATGACTGACTGCCCTGACTATAGTCTGTTCTACGGCAGAACTCGATCTTATATTGCCTCAGAAAAAGGCGTGCGGTCCAAAGAAGAGTGGTGGTGTGACATCAAAATCGATGTTGCAACTGGCCCTCGTGACATTTATGCAGCTATTGACGGTGCCTTTGACGTACAGAAGGTGAATGTAGAGAACTCGGTGGCTGAGCAGTACGGTGCTATCAGCAAGCTCCCGCCAGTGCTTCAGATTCAGGTTCAGCGTGTCCAGTTTGACCCCGCAACGAAGCGCTCATTCAAGTCCACTCACCATCTCGGATTGAAGGAGACGATTTATCTTGACCGATATATGGACTCGCAGCAACCGCAGTTCCTGGAGCGGCGACAGCAGTGCTGGCAATGGAAGAACTCGCTCAGAGAGCTTGAGGCGCGCCGTGCGGAGTTACTGCGTCAAGTGGTAGGTTGCGCCCGCATCGCTTGTTGTGGGCCCAGACATCTAATTCATAATCTAGGATTCCGACGGCATGGATACGGCGGGTTTGCTCAACGGCGCTAAGGAAGTACTCGAAGACTTGGCAGCTATGAGAGAAGAGCCTGATTATGCAGAGGACGCGATCGATTTTGACACGCAAATAATCACCGAGGTTGATCAGCTTTCTCAGATAGCAAAGGCTGACTTGAACTGTGCGTCCGCGCTTCCCAAGTTTTGGCCTCTGGTATGCAGGCGCTAACTCGAAACAGATATCGAAAACCAAATCCAGGAGACCCAGAACAAGATCACCGCTCAGTTTGCCGACTACAAGTACCTGGCTTATCGCCTGTATGCCGTTTTCGTCCACCACGGATCGGTCTCCTTCGGCCACTACTACATTTACATCTTCGACTTTGAACGGAACGTCTGGAGGAAATACAATGACAACTATGTCACCGAAGTAAACGACCTGGATGAGATCTTCAAGGACGAGGGGCAGTCCAACCCGCCCACGCCATACTTCCTGGTATACGTCAACGACACGATGAAGGATCGGCTCGCCGACCCGGTCTGCAGGGAAATCTTGGAAGAATCCACGGCGAATGCCAATGAAGATGTGGACATGAATCCACCAGCGTACGACGAGATCTGGACAGACCAGGGCGGATCAGGTACGGTAGTCGATCACCCCATGACGGAGGCTAAAGACGATGCCAATGCAGGATCCGGCAAGACTGCCTGGGGTTGGCCACCGAAGACAAGCACTGACTTAGACCATGTAAAGTGGTAGGCTCAGAGGTCAAGCCGCCGGTCCGAGACTCGACGTCAAATCCACTCAAACGCAAGGGCCTGGGCGACGATGGAGGCTAAATTCATACTAGGCCTAGACTTCTAGGGGACGCCTACAGTTCAGCTATAGAGGTAAATTGCAGGACTGGACATCATGACCGAGCAAAGACTTTAGAGCTGGATGATATGAGGCGGGGAAGACTGCGAGAATACAGGCTATTCTTGTAGTTATATTGATGTTCCGTTTGGTTTGTGCGGGCGTGTAACTTTTCTGACGATATCCTTTGTGCATGCGCTAGCGGAGATGTTGTCATGATTTCCTGTACATAGCAGGTGATGTCCTCCATCATGATATTCGATGATAATGTACCATGTCATTTTCTGCCTTGTATCCTTCTCAGATCGAATCAACCTAATTTACTTATCTATGCTGCAGTGACAGTCAATTTAGTCATGACTTCGGCGGCGGGTCCGAAGCGGGCCGCGGATCGGGATCGGAACGACAGTCGGCAGCACAAGTGGGGGAGAAACTGCCCTGCAGGCTGAATGACCGTCGCATGTCTGTGCATAAGACTTGAGGCCATTGCACCAGAAGACCTTAGAGAAGTGACTGGATGAGAGTTACCGGTTCAGTGGAAAATGAACATCTACATTTCCATCATTGAGGTACACAAAATAGACTAACCCAAGGGGTCGGATCTCCTCAGTATATAGATTATGCATTGAGAGCACAAGTGCGGGGAGAATTCCGGGGAAGGCGGCATGGCGGCTGGCGTTCCGCAACTCCGCATGTGGCCGTACTTATCCATTCCTCATATAACCTCCTCTTCTCCGCTTCCTTCATGTTCCTCTGATACCTTCATTCTTCCTTCTTGTGTCTCGGGAGTGATTGTCAACTCTGGACCCTAACGGCTTTGCGCAACTTGACTGCCAACTGTAACCATCGAAGCTACATACATATATACCTCTACTCGTGGTCCATCATGCCGTCACAAGTGGCGACATGTCTGCGCCTGGCGCGGCAGTTCTCTGCTGATCCCAGCAAGGTAAGCATCTTTGTGTCACCAAATGTGACTAGATTGGAAATGATAGTTCTGACATATGCATTTACTCCAGCACCAACGATTCCTCGCACGTGCTTTCTCTAGCAGTATTCGTCGACCTGAGATCAACAAGGTTGTGTCTTCCGCAGACATCGCAATCAAGGATATGAAGTCCAACTCGACATTATTGGCCGGTGGCTTTGGTCTCTCCGGTGTACCAGACACACTGATTAGCGCGGTGCGCGCGAATCCCTCCATTACGGGACTGACAGTCGTCAGTAACAACGCTGGTGTCGACGGAGCGGGTCTTGGTCTTCTTCTCCAGTCTAAGCAAATCAAGAAGATGATTGCTAGCTATGTGGGAGAGAACAAGACCTTTGAGCGCATGTACCTGACCGGAGAGATCGAGCTCGAGTTGACTCCTCAGGGTACCTTGGCGGAACGTTGTCGTGCCGGTGGTGCGGGCATCCCGGCTTTCTACACCCCTGCCGCCTGTGGTACCGTTGTGCAGACGGGCGAGTTGCCTCTGAAGCATAATTCCGACGGAACTGTCGCGCTCTACAGTGAGCCTAGGGATGTCAAGGTCTTCGATAAGAAGAGTTACGTCATGGAGGAAGCGATCAAGGGTGACTATGCGTTTGTCAAGGCCTGGAAGGCTGATAAGCTGGGTAACTGCCAGTTCCGCTATGCTGCGGCCAACTTTAATGGCGCAATGGGCCGCAATGCGAAGATGACGATCGTCGAGGCTGAGCATATTGTTGAGCCGGGCGAGATTGAGCCCGCTGCTATTCATCTGCCGGGCATCTATGTCAAGCGGGTGATTCAGAGCACAGCCCCCAAGAACATCGAAAAGTATACCTTTGCCAAGGAAGAGGGCGAGGAGGCGGCTGCCCTGGGTAAGGGTGATACTGCTGCTAAGCGCGAACGCATCGTTCGTCGTGCGGCGAAGGAGTTCAAGAACGGGATGTACGCGAACTTGGGCATTGGCATGCCCATGCTGGCGCCTAACTTTGTCGATCCCTCTGTAGAGGTCATGCTGCAGTCTGAGAACGGCATCCTGGGTCTGGGTCCGTACCCTCAGAAGGGACAGGAGGATGCCGATCTCATCAACGCTGGCAAGGAGACGGTCACGCTGCTGCCTGGAGCTGCTTGCTTCGGTAGCGAAGAGTCCTTCGGTATGATCCGCTCGGGACGGATCGATCTGACTATTCTGGGCGCGATGCAAGTCAGTGCCCGAGGTGATTTGGCAAACTGTAAGTGGTCCTTGTATAATTGTTCTTTGGGTGTCTGGTTGACAATGTTTGTTAGGGATGCTGCCTGGCAAGATCAAGGGCTTCGGTGGAGCTATGGACCTCGTCTCGAACCCCTCCGCCACCAAGGTGGTGGTGACCATGGAGCACACGGATAAGAAGGGCGGTCCGAAGATCGTGAAGCAGTGCGAATTCCCCTTGACCGGAAAGACGTGCGTCAGCCGAATCATCACCGAGCTCTGCGTATTCGACGTCGACTTTACGGATGGACTGACGCTGGTTGAGCTGGCCGATGGAGTCACCGTGGATGAGGTGCGGAGCAAGACGGAGGCACCATTCAAGGTGGCTGATGATGTCAAGCCGATGCTGTAGATCTGATTGACATGATGATCCTCACTGCAAATATGTATAACTCGGCGTTGTCAATCGACAACTGACCTGACTCCCCAAACACACCATATATACCACGCTGTATCCAAATTAATGCCATTGAACAGATACCAATTTCTTCACCCAAAGATTACACTATATATACAAGGTCGTAAAGTACAGAACCCGAACCAGAACCAGAGCCACTTTTTATAATCCCTTCTTCACCCATGCCATCCCATAGTACTAATACAACACAACACCATAAGAAAATATGGCCACTACCACCACTCCCCTCCCCTCCCCAATAGCCCTCTAAACCCCAAAGACAGACAAACTACCTCAACCTCAACAATCCACCCAACCTCTTCTTCAACCTTCCCATCCAGTCCCGGTCCGGCGCCTCATCGAACTCCCGGATCACATTATCGTAATGGTCCGGGTTACTCGCCGGCCTGCGCAACCTCGGCGACAGGGGGTAGCGTCTTGCGTAGCGGTCTTCGAGGAGTGAGGAAAGAGCGTTGAGGGATTTCTCGTCGATGTTGACTTTTTGTAATTGGCCTTCTTGTTGAGGCTGTTTCTGAGAGGTGGGTTCGGTGGATGAGGGTTGGAGGCAGGCTTGGAGGTAGTTCTGGACGGACACGGAGGAGGGGCGCACTTTGTCGGTTGGCCAGTGTTTGAGGAGGGTGGTGATTCGTTGCTGTGGTTGGTGTTTAGTAAGTTGGGATGCAGAAGAGGTGGGATTGAAGAGGGTTTGGGTTGAGGTGGTGAGGATCGACGTACTGTGTTGGATGCCATGATGGGATATCTGTGTGTGAGGTTCGTGTGATTTTAGCGTGAGTGATAGGGGCGACAGGATGGTGAATGAGAGAAGCGCTGGAGAGATACTGTTCGAGATCTATCTAGATGTCTGTAGATGCTCGAAAAACAGCGGAACTGCCTGAGGCGGCAAGGCGGTCACGGGCGCGGCAATCCGGAGGCGGCAATCCGGCTCAGCCACCGCATGCTGATTGATGCTGCTGATGCTGCTGCCTTATTGCCTGACCTGGACTTCTCTCTCTCTCCTCTCGTCATCTCCAGCTGATCGTCTCCTTCCCATCTCCTTTGAATCTCCCCCCTCAAAGTCCCATCCACGTTCTTTGCGCCTCCTTTTATTGCCCCTCTTCTAATACCTACTTTCGACGCCGTTGATTTCTTTTGTTTCGTCCCCACCGTCCTTTACTCCGCTCTTTCCCGGTTTCCCGCTCGCTCAGCTCGTCATGAGCTCGCAGCGTTATCAACGGGTATGAGGCACCCACGTTCTTTGATAGAAGCCGTCGGGTTCGGCATTTGGATGTCAGAAAAACAAAGTACTGATCTTTCTGCTTAGGTTAACGCCCGTGATGAAGACGACGATGATACCCCCCAGTCACACTCCTCTATCCCTCTCCGACCGACACCTTCCTCCCCGCCTCCCTCATTCCACTCTCGTTCCTCCTCCCCATCATCGAGACGCCTACTCCACGACGATCCCCACAGAGACCATGCAGACCAAACCCTGGCAGATGCGTTCGGTGATGGCAGCGATTCCGAGTCTGATGAAGAGCCCGACGATCGTCAGCGCTTAATGCGGGCTCAGCCGGATTCCCGCCCGGTGGCGGACACCAGCAGCGCCGCTGCGGCTGCGTCTTCTTCTTCAAGCGGTTCAGAGCAACAGTCTGGCGACTCGCGCATCGGTGGAAGCCTTCCTCGACGGCAAACGATTCTGCCATCTTTCAGTACCCCCAGTTCGGGAGCGAGTCGGGTGATCAGTTCGTCGAACGATGGTGTCTTTGCTAATCTGGCGGCTAAGCCGGAGCGCGGGGAAAAGAATGAGGATTTGCCTCCGGTAGGTTGACTTATTGTGAGATTTGCGATGGGATGATGGTTGCTGATGATGTGCTGTTTGATAGTCCTACGAGGAGGCCGCCGCAGATGCTACACCGCCGTATTGGGAGACGACAATTCTCGCACCAGGTATCTCTTCGGACGAAGTGTTTGTGGATGGATTGCCGGTTGGATCGATTTTCTCGTTTGTCTGGAATGCCATGATCTCCATGTCGTTCCAGTTGGTTGGATTCCTCTTGACCTACTTGCTTCACACAACGCACGCAGCCAAAAACGGTAGCCGGGCTGGTCTTGGCCTCACGCTGGTGCAGTATGGTTTCTACATGAAGGGTGGCAGTGAGTCGAAAGGATCGGATGAAGGAGGCGCCGATTACGTGACACCCCCGGACCCGAACAGTCATAACTTCGATCCGAATAATGTCGATGGTGGTGCGGGTGGTGATGGCGGAGGCGGAGCCGTGTCCTCTATCACCACGAGCGAATGGATTTCATACGTCTTGATGATTGTCGGGTGGTTCATTCTGATTCGAGCTATCAGCGATTTCCTGCGGGCACGCCGTCACGAGCAGCTGGTGTTACAGAGTCCTGAGCGTGGGCTTAGCGTTCCTGTCATTGCAGAGGGCGAGCGATCGGAGACAGTTGTCTAGGGAATATGGGAATCTTGGTCTGGTCTGGGTACAGTTCACTTGGGAGCATTCGGAGTTCATTTTCCTTCCTTTGCACGATTTCGTTATTCTTATAATCGGCCCTACGATCCAGTTGTAGGATGGATGGGAGCCTGCAGAGCATTGGTAGCCTATCGTTGACCGGGTTCATCTTTTCGTTATTTCCTTTCTTCTTCTTTTTCTCCTACCATTTACACATCATGGTCGGTTCCAGCTATTGCACGAGTTACCGGGCCTGTAGTCTAGAATACCTTGTTATCTTGTTTGCGAGATACCTTTGGCAAGTGAATCCAAGTGGAAACAATTCGACTTTCATCTCTTTCACTCCTTGTTGTTCTGTACAACTTTCCTAGTAGTAAACAGTGAGACATTTGGGCCAATTGGGAGTTGCCTCGTTCCGATTTGCCTTCAGCAGGCAGCCTTATTTTCGGGACCCTTGAATGGAAGCATCGCCGCTGAAGATCGTCCGCCCTGCGACTGGGGATGTTCCCCGTCGCCCCGGTGTGCCTGTTTCTCAATAAGTACTCTCAGACTATTGTTCTGCTTGAGCTTGCTGCCCGATGCTGATCGTCTTGGCGGTCTCTCCGGTTTCTCCGCGTTGATCTTCTTGTCTTCCGCTCTCCTTCTTCCCCTTCCTTTCTTGACTTTCCCCTTTCTATTATCACAAGTGGTTACCTCTCGCTCTTGTTCTCCTCATGTTCATTTTCTATCCAGTCAAATTCACCTCTCCGTGACATCTCCCCCGCCTCTCTCTCCATGACCAAGGTTGACGCCGCGGGGGATGGGGATTCCGCCCCGATGGCCGCCTCGCCGCCGAGTCTCCCCAAAGCCCCCGTCGAGGCTCGCTCGCTGTCTTCCATCACCGCAATTGCCTCCAATCCCCCTGCCTATCCGCGCAATCCTGCTCAGAAGAAGTTGGATCCGTTAGTGCTGTATATTGTGCGGGTCCCAGGCAGTCGAGGTATGTCGCTTACCTGCCATTCCGATCGCTCAGGAATGCCCCGCAGAAGCGGTGGCACCAAACATGCATATGATAGATCAACTGACCCTTGTTTTCTTCCGTCCTCTAGATGTATTCCTTACCCCCTTGAAACCTGCTACCAAGTCTAGCGTCTCTGCCGAAGCCATCAATTCCTCTCTATATTATTTGCACGTTGCCACGCCCGAGGATGACGTCCTGCTACAGGAATATGAGCAGGAGCGCGAAGAGGAGGCTAGGTTGCGGAAAGAAGCCCTTGGAGACGAGGCGGAGGCTTCTCTGCCTTCGCGCGAGTTTGCGCGATTGAACAATGTCCGGCGCAAGCCTGTTCCTGGCGCGGGCGCACCCAAGGTCGATGCGACCGCTCCTCCTCCTCCTGCGCGCCCTCGCCCAACTTCCTGGCAGTCGCAGGGAGCGCCGTCGCCGTTGAATCCAGATCTGCAGCGCCCTGCCCTGCCTCCTCGTCCGAGTTTCCAGGGCCCTGCTCATGCAAACGATTACAACCCTGTCACCCCGCCTTTCGCGCCGGTCAATCGCGACCCCGTCCTCGAGTCCGCGCCGCTTGACGATCCCATGGCTGCGCGCCCTTCGCGGCCACTGCCTGCTGTTCCGAGAGAAGAGCCCGTGCTGGGACCGCCTCTAGACCCGCTGCCGGCGAAGAGGGCCAATCGGTGGAGCACTGCGCTGTCAGGGTATCTGGCAAAGGGCCAGGAAACGTGGAAGGAGAAATATGATGCCATGTCTGGAGGTCGGGCAAGTCTGGATTCAAGACGACCCCCGGTTAGACCGCATTCCGCTCATGGAAGTCCATCACATTCGTTTCTGGGGTCGCCCTCTAGAAGCCCAGCGAGAAGTCCTGCCAGAAGTCCGGGCCAGTCCCCTCGCCAGAGGCCGCATGACAGAGTGGTGCCTGATCGTCCGGGATTCCATATCACCTTGATACGTCGCGATCCTACGCATGGCAGTCAGTGGAATGTTGCGACCATGTCAACGCCCCGGATGGATGGTGGGCCTATAGACATCGATATCCTTACCCCGGGGTATAATCGATTCACGGCGCAGAACGAGCCGCTCTCCCTTGCGAGTCTGGGGATAAACCTCCCAGGCGGCCAGTCCATCTCGTTCTCGTCGTCCAAACACCCGTTGGCTGATTTGGCTGATCTTCCACTTCCTACTTCCGTCCCCAATGAGCCCCCTCAACCCCGACGATTCCACCGCAAGCTCTGCGTCTCAAGACCATACTTTCAAGAAGAGCCGCGAGGCTCCTTGGACCTTCCGGGTCGTCCATCCCTGGACAGCACTGCCAGTGGCAGTCCCACGAAACCGCATGCCCCTCCTCACTCCAAGCTGAAGAGCGGCTATTACACCTTCAACTCACCTTGGAATGGCATCTGCACGTTTACAACGAGCGTCAACGGCCGCAGCCTTAAATGCAAACACATGATACCCACCCCTGGCTTCCCCAACGCCAGCAGCCACCATCACCACCCGACATCCACGCCTGAACCCCCTGCCATCACTGTCGCCGAGATCCGCTTCAACACGCCCTTTCGAACCGGCCACCTTCACCAGCCCACTCCCACTTACGCACCCTATCATCCTACCTCGCCCCCAACGGACTCCTACCTCTCCTCTCCGCAAACTCCTACCTCCGCAAACCCTTCCTCGAAACGCGACTCTCTCGCCCGCCTCCTCAACCCGAACAAGTATACGCGACCTCGCGCTCGCTCCGGGGCCAGTATCACCTCCATCGGCGATAACATCGGCCCCAGCCACCACACACGGAACCCCTCAAATAGCAGCACGAGCAGCGGGGCCGGGGATCTCGAAGAGCGCGAGAAATCAGGGCTTTTGCGCCGGCCACCGAGTGAGGACCGTCTGGATCTTTCTCTTGCACGGGAGCGCGCAGGCGGAGGGTTACGGGGGAAGTCTGCGAAATTGGGTAAGCTGATTATCGAAGATGAGGGTATCAAGATGTTGGATCTGGTTGTTGCTGCTTGTATGTCTGTTTATGCAGTGAGTTGCTAGACATTGGTTTGACTGCATATGGCATGATTAATCTTTTGGTTATATCCTGGGATATGTTCGAGTTGTGATTGTGATATGATATGATATACTATTGATGTTTTGGGCATTTGAGCGATATGCATTTGATGATATGTAACTGCAATTGATATACTGATATACCTTGAATATGAAGCTGAAGCTGAAGCTGCTATAGCACTATCCTCTGATAGACATCAGGAAAATCACAGTAGCATGATAGTACCTACCCTCCCCCCTCCCCCCTCCCCCTAGGAAAGACCAGTACCTCCCAAGCTAGTAGCTACTACGTAGCTAGTAAACCAGCCATCCCACTCCCACAT